ACACGGGGGGGGGACACGGGGGGGGGGGGGTGAGACACTGAGACACGGGAACGGGGGAGAGACACGGGGGGGGGGGGGGGAGACACTGAGACACGGAAACGGGGTGGAGACACGGGGGGGGGGAGGCACTGAGGCACGGGGGGGAGACACGAGGGGAGACACGGGGGGGAGACACGGGGGGAGACACGGGGGGAGACACGGGGGGAGACAAGGGGGGGGACACGGGGGGGAGACACGGGGGGAGACACGGGGGGAGACACGGGGGGAGACAAGGGGGGGAGACATGGGGGGAGACACGGGGGGGAGACACGGGGGGGGAGACACGGGGGGAGACACGGGGGGAGACACGGGGGGGAGACACGGGGGGGAGACACGGGGGAAGACACGGGGGGGAGACACGGGGGGAGACACGGGGGGGAGACACGGGGGGAGACACGGGGGGGAGACACGGGGGGGGGGGGAGACACTGAGACACAAGGGGGAGACACGGGGGGGGAGACACTGAGACACGGGGGGGGGGGGGAGACACTGAGACACGGGGGGGGGGGGAGACACGGGGGAGAGACACGGGGGGGAGACACGGGGGGAGACAAGGGGGGGGGACACGGGGGGGAGACACGGGGGGAGACACGAGGGGAGACACGGGGGGAGACACGGGGGGAGACAAGGGGGGGAGACATGGGGGGGAGACACGGGGGGGAGACACGGGGGGGAGACACGGGGGGAGACACGGGGGGGAGACAAGGGGGGAGACACGGGGGGGAGACACAGGGGGAGACACGGGGGGAGACACGGGGGGGAGACACGGGGGGAGACACGGGGGGGAGACACGGGGGGGAGACACGGGGGGGAGACACGGGGGGAGACACGGGGGGGAGACACGGGGGGGGGGGGGAGACACTGAGACACAAGGGGGAGACACGGGGGGGGAGACACTGAGACACTGAGACACGGGGGGGGGGGGGGGAGACACTGAGACACGGGGGGGGGGGGAGACACGGGGGAGAGACACGGGGGGGAGACACTGAGACACGGGGGGGAGACACGAGGGGGGGGGGCCCTCACCAGGCCTTTGCTGGGCTCGGCGTGCCCCGCCGTGGCCCCGAAGGCCGGGTAGCCGGCCTTCTCCGCCTTCTTCGCGCTCCGCTGCATGCTGCACACACCGCAGGCAAAGGTCCCCCGTGAGGCCTTCCACGGATCGGTGGGGCAAGAGGGGCCGGCTTTGTCTCCCCCCGGCGTCGATGCTTCACGCGCACCGGACCGGGCATTCGTTTTGAGGCCGAGTCGACCTAGCGGAGGCCCGGGACCGGCTCGGATAATCATCACCGTGGTGTTGGCAGCCGTGAGCGGGAATCGAACTTGGGTCTGCCGGGTTCGCGGCACGGCGCTGGCCGCGACGCCACGGACGCAGACAAAGGTCCCCCGGGTAGCCGCGGAGAGCGTTGGGTGCAAGTGCTGTGAGCGAGCAGCACCCGTGAAGGGGTTTGCGTGCGTGCGCGTGTGTGTGCTTGCGTGCGTGTGTGTCGGTGTGTGCGTGTGTCGATGTGTGCGTGTGTCGGTGTGTGCGTGTGTCGGAGTGCGTGTGTCGGTGTGTGCGTGTGTGTCGGTGTGTGCGTGTGTCTGTGTGTGCGTGTGTGCGTGTGCGCGTGTGTCGGTGTGTGCGTGTATCGGTGTGCGCCTGTGTCTGTGTGCGCGTGTGTCGGTGTGCGCGTGTGTCGGTGTGTGTCTGTGTGTGTGCGTGTGTCGGTGTGTGTGCGTGTGTCGGTGTGTGTGCGTGTGTCGGTGTGTGTGCGTGTGTCGGTGTGTGTGCGTGTGTCGGTGTGTGTCTGTGTGTGTGCGTGTGTCGGTGTGTGTCTGTGTGTGTGCGTGTGTCGGTATGTGTCTGTGTGTGTGCGTGTGTCGGTGTGTGTGCGTGTGTCGGTGTGCGTGTGTCGGTGTGTGTCTGTGTGTGTGCGTGTGTCGGTGTGTGCGTGTGTCGGTGTGCGTGTGTGTGTCGGTGGTGCGTGTGTCGGTGTGTGCGCGTGTGTTGGTGTGCGTGTGTTGGTGTGCATGTGTCGGTGTGTGTCTGTGTGTGTGCGTGTGTCGGAGTGCGTGTGTCGGTGTGTGCGTGTGTGTCGGTGTGTGCGTGTGTCTGTGTGCGTGTGTCGGTGTGTGCGTGTGTGCGTGTGTGCGTGTGACGGTGTGTGCGTGTGTGCGTGTGACGGTGTGTGCGTGTGTCGGTGTGTGCGTGTCTCGGTGTGCGCGTGTCTGTGTGTGTGCGTGTGTCGGTGTGTGCGTGTGTGTCAGTGTGTTCGTGTGTGTCGGTGTGCGCGTGTGTCGGTGTGTGCGCGTGCGTCGGTGTGTGCGTGTGCGTCGGTGTGCACGTGTGTCGGTGTGTGCGCGTGTGTCGGTGTGTGTGCGTGTGTCTGTGTGTGCGTGCGTGTGTGCGTGCGTGTGTGCGTGTGTGCGTGCGTGTGTGTGCGCGTGTGTCGGTGTGTGCGCGTGCGTCGGCGTGGGCTGTACTCACTAGCAACAGCAGACCACCGCCAGAATGAGTCCCGCAGTTCCAGTGACCACACAGGCGATGAGTATGACTGCCAGTGGGAGCGGGGAGGAGAGACACGGGACACACAGACGCAGCCATCACACCAAGGAAAAAGATCCTCGTGCAGCGCAGGGATCACGCTCAGCCTCGCTCCGTCTCCCGGGTGGTGGAACTCCTCTCCGACACGTTGTGTAAACTATAAACTAAACAACATTGTTTTCACTATGAGATCTCTTTTACCAGTGGCAAAATATAGTAGTAGGTTTTTACCCTTTTAAACTGGTACAAAACTGACACCTTTATACAAGGCATCATGTTTGCAATAACCACAACACAAGCAGTCAAAATGCAAACAAAAAGAAACAACTCTGATGATGATAATGATATGCACTGTCCTTGAAGTTGATTGGTCCACACCCGAGACGGCTTTCTTTAGAGCCTAGTCCCCATTGGTGTTGGACCAGATGACACCAGAAGGCGTACAACTCAAACACAGTGCAATATCAGAGTATTGAGAGCTCGGGGTAAGCATTTACAACTTGACTACTTGTGTTGTGGTTATTGCAAACATGATGCCTTGTATAAAGGTGTCAGTTTTGTACCAGTTTAAAAGGGTAAAAACCTACTTTTTTTTTCTTACTCTTAAGCCTCACCTTACCATATTAAGTCTCAAGCCTCACCTTACCATATTAATACAAGTATGCGGCCCTTGCCCCACCACCTTCTCCAACCATTATATAAACGGAGTGGTAGCTCCTGTAATCTCTCATTTACTTGATACAGCTGTCGTGGCTGTGACGGTTCCACCTGAAGACGGAAGCTTGTGTTGCCTCCGAAACGTCGTGATTTTTATTTTATTTTACTTTTTAATGTTTTTTTACCTACGTGACTTTACCGAAAAAACCTAAGAATATAAAAACCTACTACTAAACATTGTTTTCATTATTTCACCAGGTAAGGCTCACTGAGCGATGTACAGCTCGTTTTCAGAAGCGACCTGGCCACAAATGAGAGCTGGACAAAGGTGACTCATCATCAGCATCGCGTGGAAGTTCCTAGCGGCAGCCAAATAACTCTGAACGCGTGGTGCTGTTGTTGTTGATTCTAAAATGTGGAGGGAAAAACAGGAGGACCAGGGGAAAAATCCACGGAACCACGGTGAGAGATAGAGAGACACGCAGACTCAAAATATATACAGCAGCAGGTGCGTCAGGGTCGGGATCGAACCCAAGACCTCCTGTACACCAGGCGAGGTAGTTAACATCTCCTAGTCACCGTGATGATGATGATGAGAGAGAGAGAGACACGCAAACTCCAAATATACAGCAGCAGGCGTCAGGGTCGGGATCGAACCCACGACCTCCTGTACACCAGGCGAGGTAGTTAACATCTCCTAGCCACCGACTGTGCGTGACCGTACGTGCGTCTCTGCACGTGCATTCGTGACCGTGCACGTGTGCCTGCCTGTGCGTGCGTGCCTGCGTGGCTGTGCGTGCGTGGCTGTGCGTGCGTGCCTGTGTGTGCGTGCCTGTGCGTGCAGGGCTGTGCGTGCGTGCCTGTGCGTGCGTGCCTGTGCGTGCGTGCCTGTGCGTGACTTCGTGTGTGTGTGCGTGCGTACTCAGGAAGAGCGTATCGGTGGCAGGGTCATTGTGCGAACTCTGCCCCTTGTCGACCGCAACAGGACCCGGGGCGGCGGCGGAGGTCACGGCGGAGGCGTTTGGGCTCCCTCGGCCATCGGGGCCCAGTGGCGCCGACCTGGGCGCTGGCGCTGTGGAGGTGGGAGGCGGGAGAAAGGAAACGGATTTCATTCACATCCGCGACAGCGAGTGGTCCAAACTCGACGCGAGTGGTGACGATGATGGTGGTGTGTGTCTGTGTGTGTGTCTGCCTAAACAGCTTTTGTTCGGCCGGATCGAGGGGGCTAAACGGGCACGGCACGGGCTAGATAAGAGATGGAGTGATGTGGTACAGGAGGATGTGGAGCTGAGTGGACTTGCCGACGACTGGTACCAGCGGTGTCAAGATCGGCCTCTGTGGAGGAGGCTCGTGAAGGACGCTACTGGGCAGTTGGTGGCAGTCGCCCTCCAACAACAACGGAGGGCGGAGGAGCGAGCAGAGCGCCGGGTGGCTAAAGCACAGCAAGTTGGCACAGTAGGGGGCACAGGTGGTGCATCAGCCAGTCATCTCGGTCATCTCGGTCATCTCAGTCAGTCGACCCGTGGCACCTGCTGGGTCTGCCCCGTGACCTCCTGCCAGCGGTCGTTCGACACTTCACGTGGCCTCAAGGTGCACATGGCCTGGCACAAGCGTCGTGGTGACATCACCGCCACTTAGTGGCGAACGGCGGTTGTTGTTGTTGTGTCTGTCTGTGTGTGTCTGTGTGTGTGTGTGTCTGTGTGTGTCCGATAGAGCTGCCTCCTGTACGCCGCTTCACATCTCATCTCAACACATCTGAAAGTGGGCACCCTCAGTGGCAGCTGTCCCCGCGTCTCCCTCCCATGTCTCAAGCTTGTCTCCTCAACGTGTTTTCCCCGCCCGTGTTTCCTCCCCCTCCTACCCCCCCCCCCCCCCGTGTCTCCCCCCCGTGTGTCCTCTCCGTGTCTCCCCCCCCGTGTCTCCTTCACCACCTCCTACCCCTGTGTCTCCACCCCGTGTCTCCCCACCACGTCCTCTCCGTGTCTCCCCCCCCGTGTCTCCTCCCCGTGTCTCCCCCCCCGTGTCCCCCCTTGTCCCCCCCCCGTGTCTCCGTGTCTCCCCCCCCGTGTCTCCTCCCCGTGTCTCCTCCCCGTGTCCCCCTTGTCTCCCCCCCCGTGTCTCCTCCCCGTGTCTCCTCCCCGTGTCCCCCCTTGTCTCCCCCCCGTGTCTCCGTGTCTCCCCCCCGTGTCTCTCCCCCGTGTTTCCCCCACCACGTCCTCTCCGTGTCTCCCCCCCCGTGTCTCCTCCCCGTGTCCCCCCTTGTCTCCCCCCCGTGTCTCCGTGTCTCCCCCCCCGTGTCTCTCCCCCGTGTCTCCCCCACCACGTCCTCTCCGTGTCTCCCCCCCCGTGTCTCCCCCCCGTGTCCCCCCTTGTCTCCCCCCCGTGTCTCCGTGTCTCCCCCCCGTGTCTCTCCCCCGTGTCTCCCCCACCACGTCCTCCCCGTGTCTCCTCCCCGTGTCTCCCCCCCGTGTCCCCCCTTGTCTCCCCCCCCGTGTCTCCGTGTCTCCCCCCCCGTGTCTCCCCCCCCCGTGTCTCCTCCTCGTGTCTCCCCCCCGTGTCCCCCCTTGTCTCCCCCCCGTGTCTCCGTGTCTCCCCCCGTGTCTCTCCCCCGTGTCTCCCCCACCACGTCCTCTCCGTGTCTCCCCCCCCGTGTCTCCCCCCCGTCTCCCCCCCCGTGTCTCCCCCCCGTGTCTCTCCCCCCGTGTCTCCTCTCCGTGTCTCCTCCCATTGTCTCCCCCCCCGCGTCTCCCCCCCCGCGTCTCCCCCCCCGTGTCTCCCCCCCCCGTGTCTCCCCCCCCGTGTCTCCTCCCCGTGCCTCTCCACCCCGTGTCCCCCCTTGTCTCCCCCCCGTGTCTCTCCCCCCCCGTGTCTCCCCCCGTGTCTCTCCCCCCGTGTCTCCCCCACCACGTCCTCTCCGTGTCTCCCCCCCCGTGTCTCCCCCCCGCGTCTCTCCCCATGTCTGCTCCCCGTGTCTCCCCCCCGTGTCTCCCCCCCGTGTCTCCCCCCCACGTCTCCCCCCGTGTCTCCTCCACCACCTCCTCCTCCCCGTGTCTCCCCCCCGTGTCTCCCCCCCGTGTCTCCCCCCCGTGTCTCCCCCCCGTGTCTCCCCCCCGTGTCTCACCCCCGTGTCTGCCCCCCGTGTCTCCCCCCTGCGTGTCTCCCTCCCGTGTCTCCCCCACCACGCCCTCCCCGTGTCTCTCACCTGCGTCCTGCAAGCTGCGCTCCTTCAGCTGCTCCGAAATGAAGTCGATCTCTTCCCCGGGCAGGTCCAGCTGAGAGGCGCGTGCCAGCCCTGCAAAGACAAAGGTCCCCCGTGTAGTCTTTCACTTCACTGCTGGGGGCAAGTGCTGTCAGCGAGCAGCGGCGCCTCATGGCACACGAGGGGGTGGGTGGCCAACACCGCGCCCGGCCGCCTTTGTCTAACCCAGTGGCGATGTTTACACACTGCACAAGGTACTCATTTGAGGCTGAGTCGACCTAGGAGACGCCCAGAACCGGTTCGGATAATCTGCCACCGGTGATGGTGGCCGTGAGCGGGGATCGAACTCAGGTCGCCGGGATCGTAGCGCAGCGTAGCGCTAACCACTGCACCACCGCTCCCTTCACACAAACACTCACATACACACACACTCATACACACCATACACACACTCATACACACATACACACACACACATACACACACCATACACACACGTACACACACCATACACACTCATACACACACACATACACACACACACTCATACACACCATACACACACACACCATACACACACATACAAACACACACATACACACACACCATACACACACACACACGTACACACTCATACACACAACGTGTTTGTATCTAAACGTGACCCACTGCTGTGACCGGTCTCCAGCTGACTGCCACTGCAGAATCTGGTTCAATCGCTGTGGTCGGGGCGGCTGAAACTCGGTCCGGGAAGCACGAAAATCCCCACTAAATCGGCCTCCCCCCCCCCAAATCTCTACATCTCTTCCTCATACCCCCCCCTGCCCCTCAACCCCCCCCCACCACACACACCCCCCCTTCAAGATAAAAGATCCCCCCGGTAGTAGCCTGAACAGAACGTTGGGGCAAGTGCTGTTCGCAAGCAGCGCCGATCATTGAGGGCCGACACGGCGATCGGAACCCCACAGATGAGATCTTTGGAGTTCAAAGCCGGGGGTCAGTGTATCATCAAGGGGTTCATGATGGCCGTGTCGGAGATGGCGATCGGAACCCCACAGATGGGATCTCTGGGGTTCAAAGCCGGGGGTCATTCTATCACCAAAGGGTTCACGATGGCCGTGTCGGAGATGGCGATCGGAACCCCACAGATGGGATCTTTGGGGTTCAAAGCCGGGGGTCAGTCTATCACCAAAGGGTTCACGATGGCCGTGTCGGAGATGGCGATCGGAACCCCACAGATGGGGATCTCTGGGGTTCAAAGCCGGGGGTCAGTGTATCATCAAGGGGTTCACGATGGCCATGTCGGAGATGGCGATCGGAACCCCACAGATGAGATCTTTGGGGTTCAAAGCCGGGGGGCATTGTCTTTGTGCTGTTCGCCTTTTGGCGTCCTCTGGTCTAACACCGTTTTGAGACGAGGCTCTAAAGAAAGCTGTCTCTGGTGTGGACCAATCAGTTTCAAAGACAATGCATCATCTACTACCAGAGCGTGTTTTTTGTTCGCATGTTCGCCACGAGCATGTGTGGTTAACGGAGACACGATTGCTTGCAAAAGATTTCCGCGCGGCGTTTTATCACCTTAACACAACTGTTTCGGTGCCAGCAAGGGAGAAACCCATTCCTGTGTTTTGACACCGGCAGGAGAGGTCCCGTGAAGTTTGTGCGTCCGCTGAAGTTTCGCGCCACCGTACGTAGCCGACCGTGCTCACCGGCGGGTGTGTGTGGGTCGGTACGCGGGAAGACAGACGAGTCCAGAGCAGAGGTCGCAACCGGGTACCCGATACCCGTACCCTACCCGATACCCGGCTACCCGTACCCGGCCGGGTACGGGTAGCCGTTTGCGACCCTGGTGCGGCCGGGTATGGGTAGGCCGTGAGTCACTGGTGAGTAACCGTTTGTCACTCATTTACCAACGTCTTGTCTCTTCTCACAATTCAAGTTCCTAGAATCAACCCACCCGCGCCTGCAACATGGCTTCATCCCAGAGGTCGCAATCGGGTACCCGTACCCTACCCGATACCCGGCCGGGTACGGGTAGCCGGGTATTGGGTAGGGTACAGGTACCCGTTTGCGACCCTGGTGCGGCCGGGTACGGGTACGGGTAAGGAATCAAAACCCGTTTGCGACCTCTGTTTCAGAGCCACCATTTCCTCAATCCCGTGCTGCGACACTGCCATCATGAAAAGCCTTCCCCCCCCCACCTCCCCGTGCCACGTCTCCGTGCCACGTCCCCGCGTCCGGTCCACCCCGCACAGAGGAGGTGGGTCACTCGGCCCGAGGCGCGAGACACGGAGGGCGGTTGTGGGGGTCACCAGGAGGTCACGAGCCATCGGTCAACGACGTGGCGAGGCCGCCCTTAAGCAGAGCACCCCGACGATCGGTTACAGAAACCCGCAGGGTTGACCACCCCCCCAAAACCGCTGACCCCCCCCCCCAACCACTTACCCCCCCCCCCAAACCGCTTACTCCCCACCCCCCGGGGCCGACTGCGGAGTCACGTGTGTACGGATGCAGTCGCGCGCGGTGAGTGAGGTGGTAACAGCGGGTGTGTGGGTCGGTGACCGAAAACCTTAGAATATGGTAACAGCTACCTGGTCTCGATTTAAAGCTTTCGTGACTGCAGGGATTCATCTTCTTGGTTCTTTCGGTAAAGTCGCGTAGAAGGGAAGTAATAAAATAATAAAAATAAAAATTATAAAATAATTCTCACGACGTTTCGGCCACAACGCAAGCAGCCGTCTTCAGGTGAAGAACAGGTCTGTCGGAAAGACAGCGTCTGAATGAGGCCCCCTCATTCAGACGCTGTCTTTCCGACAGACCTGTTCTTCACCTGAGGACAGCTGCTTGCGTTGTGGCCGAAACATCGTGAGAATTATTTTATTATGTTTGATTATTATTATTTTATTACTTCCCTTCTACGTGACTTTACCGAAAGAACCAAGAAGAAGCTACCTGGTCCCCAACGAAGCCGCTTGCTGCAACCCCGTGGGACCCGCCTGTCTCCCGGGGGGGGCGGGGGGGGGGGCGGCCCCCCCGACGGTGGTAAAAATAAAAACCCACAACGAGCAAAGTGGCACAGCTACGGAGGCGGGGGGGGGCGGTGATCTAACGCGGCACAAGCGGCGTGCCAGCTCGCCACGCGAGTTCGTCGGGTAATTAATCTTGTGCGCCCCCCCCTCCCTACCTACTCCCCCTTCCTCCCCCACCACCTTTCACCCCTCTACCCCCCCTACACCCCGAGGGCTCACACGGCAGTGGAGACAGAGGTGAAAGTGCAATAATAATTATCCAAAGGCAGCAATCATCGGCTCGAAAATACCGAGCAACTCGTTGAAAGTAGCGACTGGAGGCTTCGGGTGATGATGGGCGCGGACCCCCCCCCCCCCCCCCGAGAGACCCAGGGCTTGAACCTTCGAAACCCGAGGATCGCAGTGGCTCGTCGCAAAGTTATTAGAGACAACCTTTGTGAACCACACACAGAGAGACACACACAGTGGCATGGCTGAGTCTATGGGAAGTGTTGAGTCTATGGGCAGTGTTGAGTCTATGGGTAGTGTTGAGTCTATGGGTAGTGTTGAGTCTATGGGCAGTGTTGAGTCTATGGGTAGTGTTGAGTCTATGGGCAGTGTTGAGTCTATGGGTAGTGTTGAGTCTATGGGTAGTGTTGAGTCTATGGGCAGTGTTGAGTCTATGGGCAGTGTTGAGTCTATGGGCAGTGTTGAGTCTATGGGCAGTGTTGAGTCTATGGGTAGTGTTGAGTCTATGGGCAGTGTTGAGTCTATGGGCAGTGTTGAGTCTATGGGCAGTGTTGAGTGTATGGGTAGTGTTGAGTCTATGGGTAGTGTTGAGTCTATGGGCAGTGTTGAGTGTATGGGTAGTGTTGAGTCTATGGGCAGTGTTGAGTCTATGGGTAGTGTGAGTCTATGGGTAGTGTTGAGTCTATGGGCAGTGTTGAGTCTATGGTCTGTGTTGAGTCTATGGGCAGTGTTGAGTCTATGGGCAGTGTTGAGTCTATGGGCAATGTTGAGTCTATGGGCAGTGTTGAGTCTATGGGCAGTGTTGAGTCTATGGGCTGTGTTGAGTCTATGGGCAGTGTTGAGTCTATGGGCAGTGTTGAGTCTATGGGCAGTGTTGAGTCTATGGGCAATGTTGAATCTATGGGCAGTGTTGAGTCTATGGGCTGTGTTGAGTCTATGGGCAGTGTTGAGTCTATGGGCAATGTTGAGTCTATGGGCAGTGTTGAGTCTATGGGCAGTGTTGAGTCTATGGGCAGTGTTGAGTCTATGGGCTGTGTTGAGTCTATGGGCAGTGTTGAGTCTATGGGCAGTGTTGAGCTATGGGCAGTGTTGAGTCTATGGGCAGTGTTGAGTCTATGGGCAGTGTTGAGTCTATGGGCAGTGTTGAGTCTATGGGCAGTGTTGAGTCTATGGGCAGTGTTGAGTCTATGGGCAGTGTTGAGTATATGGCCAGTGTTGAGTCTATGGCCAGTGTTGAGTCTATGGGTAGTGTTGAGTCTATGGCAGTGTTGAGTCTATGGGCAATGTTGAGTCTATGGGCAGTGTTGAGTCTATGGGTAAGTGTTGAGTCTATGGGTAGTGTTGAGTCTATGGGCAGTGTTGAGTCTATGGGCAGTGTTGAGTCTATGGGCAGTGTTGAGTCTATGGGCAGTGTTGAGTCTATGGGTAGTGTTGAGTCTATGGGCAGTGTTGAGTCTATGGGCAGTGTTGAGTCTATGGGCAGTGTTGAGTCTATGGGCAGTGTTGAGTCTATGGGCAGTGTTGAGTCTATGGGTAGTGTTGAGTCTATGGGCAGTGTTGAGTCTATGGGCAGTGTTGAGTCTATGGGCAGTGTTGAGTCTATGGGTAGTGTTGAGTCTATGGGCAGTGTTGAGTCTATGGGCAGTGTTGAGTCTATGGGTAGTGTTGAGTCTATGGGTAGTGTTGAGTCTATGGGCAGTGTTGAGTCTATGGGCAGTGTTGAGTCTATGGGCAGTGTTGAGTCTATGGGCAGTGTTGAGTCTATGGGCAGTGTTGAGTCTATGGGCAGTGTTGAGTCTATGGGCAGTGTTGAGTCTATGGGCAGTGTTGAGTCTA